CTTGTTTGTGAGCCTGCCCCATCCAGATGCTTGGTATTCCAGGATCTGGATCAGGACGATGATGCCAAATCACTTTAGGCACTGCCTCACCTACAAAGCACTGCTTATTCTGCTCAGAGAACGTCCCTGGCCTGAGCCAAATTAAGCTGGGTTTACTCCTTGACTCATCTTGCAAAAAAAGACTAAACCCAATATTTTTCCCTGATGATTAATATTCCAAAAACCATACCATTTAGCTCCTAAAGGAGAACATGCATCAACCCCCACGCCACGGTGAACTGCTCACACACTCTGGCTGCTCTCTGTCCGGTGCAGGCAGCTGATGATCCTCATTAGGCGCTTCCTAATTAGGCGGGGCCCCAGGAGGTTAAGGCGGTGCCGCTGGCTGCCAGCCCTGCCGGCTCCCCGGGCGGGGATGGGGCTCAGAAGCCCCCACGGTGTCCGTTGACTGAAGCCAGGGCCAGCTGTGCAGCCAGCTGTGTGCTCGGGGAGGGAAAGGGGGGCTGGCTTTGATGTGCGAGGGGGCGGAGCGCTTGGAAGCCACGGGATGTGAGTGCAGTCCCCTCGATGTGTTTGCATCCCCTGGGATGTGAGTGCAGTCCCCTGGGATGTATTTACAGACCCCCGGGATGTGAGTGCAGTTCCCGGGATGTGAGTGCAGTCCCCTGGATGTGCTTGCATCCCCTGGGATGTCAGCGCAGTCCCCTGGCATGTGAGTGCATCCCCTGGGATGTCAGTGCAGTCCCCTGGATGCGCTTGCATTCCCTGGGATGTGTTTACATCCCCTCTCCACTCTGGGACCATACCTGGGCAGGCTCCAGCTCTCTGCCCAGAGCAGAGCAGTGCCTGGTGCTGGGGGCTCTGTGTATGCCTGGGATAAATTGCAACTCTAATTGACTTCATCTCCTTGGATCTCGACCCGAGGAGAAAACATCTGGGCCTGATGTGATTTTATTAAGTGCTCATTTCATCAGCAAAGGGGAAAATAGTATGGGGGGAAGAAAAGGAGGAAACTTGCTAGCCAGTTGGACCAGCTCCCTGTAAAGCTCTGAAGGTGATGGAGTGGCACAGGGGATCAGGCAGCTTGGAGAGTGGCAGCTGCAGGTTTGAGGTGGCCAAACAGTGATGGCCTTTGATCCCCTCCACCCTCACTGGTGATACTCAATGGGCCTTGGGAAAAAAAGCAGGAAAAATGATGGAGCAGGCAGAGAAAAACACAATCCCCAATTGCCCTTTTTCCCGGGAAAACATCAATCCCACTGGGCTAAACCCTGATGGAGCCATAGGGAGAGGTGTCACAAGAGGATCTGTGCTCAGCAGAGCTGACCCTGCAGCGTGCCCAGGCCACTGGCTCGTGGCACAGGTGGCCTCTGTGGGCACAAGGACCTCGCTGCCAGCAGAGATCCATGAGCTGGGCTGAGAATGGCTCTGGCAGTGCACGTGTGATGGGGCTTTCACTTTGCTTAATGACCATCCTCTCGTGGAGGGGGCACCTTAAAATACATTTGCACGTAAAAAATCCCCTAAGTCCTGACACACATGTGGACTAACTGCAACAGTAATTTGGTTTAAGGATTTTTTTCTCCCCTTTCTTCCTTTTTTTTAGAATTTTTTTTGCCTTTCCCCCCTTCTGCTTGTTCCTTCAGCTGCTCAAAATTTTTCCGGGACAAATTTAGGCCTGGGCCATGTCCCACTTATGTTTGGAAAGTCTGAACAGCCTTGACTCTGCTGCCAGGAGTGAGGAGAAAGGGCACACAGCCCATGGCAGTTTTAAACTTAAAATAAAAAGAGCCAAATGCCAAAGAAAACTCCAGATCTCACTGAGCTTTGGAATTGAAGGGTGAGCAGGAAGGCAGAGAGGGGATCCCCTGGGTTTGCCTTAGCCAAAAAAACTGTTTAAATGGAGCTGAGCTCGTCTGGGAGGAGTGTGGAAGACAACTTGTTCCTCCTCTGCTGGATAAAGGGCTGCTGCTTTTCCTCTGCCACGAGCCCTTTTGTCACTGCAAGCCCTTAGAGCATGGACGAGTGTCCACCTCTGTCCTGCCTCCAAAGGGCTCTTTAGGATGGGTAAGTGCAGCATTTGGGATTTTCTATCAGTGACCCCACAGTCCTGCACCACATTCACCAGGAGGCAGATTGGGAAAAGAGGCTGCACAGATTTTGGAGGAATGCTGCTGGTCTGCTGGGAAGGTGAAGAGGTGGCTGGGGCACGGTCTGTAATTACCTATGCAAGGAGCAGCTGGCAAAGGCTGAAGGGCTTTTTAATTAGCAGCCAAAGGCAAATCAGAATCCAACAGCAGGGAAGCTGAAGTCAGCAAAGTCAAGGTGGAAATCTGAGGGCAGTTTTTCCAGTGAGGGTAATTAAGTGCCAGCAGAGAGCAGCGTGAGACATGAGGAACTGCCGTCATTCAAGGACCTTAAATCAAGGAGAGGAGTTTCCCCTGCAGACTCGTGCTCCTTCCAGCCCTGCTTTGGCACTGCTCCCTGCCCTCCTCAGGCTGCTGAGCCTGGTACTACCTGGGCAGCAGCATCCTGCTGCAGGGGCATCCCTGCTCATTTCAAACGAGCCAGGCAGAGAATTTAGGGGGAAAAAAGGGCTGGTTTCCCCCCTGACCTGAAAGCAGCCAGCCTGCCCTCAGCCTGGCACACATGGGGTCTTTTAGCAGCTTTCCTGTGCTGAGGTTCAGCCGGATTTTTTGCCTGCATGGGGCTTGTACCTCCGGACACAGCAGATCTGGTTCGCTCACCCTACAAGAGGAAGGCTGGATCAGTTTGGGCTGGAGTTTAGGCTGGAGCAAGGCTCCTTGGCTATAACATCCTCTAAAGTCCCAAAATCCTCACCAGCAACTGAGAGGTTGAGGTTTAAGACAAACCTGCCCTCCTGTGGTGCATTAATTCCAAAATAAAGGGTCAGGCTGCTGGATGGAGGCAGATGTGCCAGCAAGAGTTATCCTCCAGGAGCTGGAGATTTGGGATGGGGATGGAAGCAAAAAATCACCATTTGGGGCTGGTTGGAAAGCAGCTCTGGCTCATACCAATTCCTTGACGTGGTCTTTCCCTTTCCAAAAATAAACAGGAACCTTTTGGAAAGCCCCTGTGCGGGGAGGAGCAGAAGTCCCCAGAATAAATAAATACACAGAGAGCCTGGGTTGAGTTCATCCAGCTGGTTGTTCCCCACTGCCAAGGGTTGTGAAGGATGAGGATGAAGCTCAGAATGTCTCGGTGGGGGTGGGAGCACATGAGGCTCTTTCCCCAGTTAATGGGATTTTTGGGAAAATGCTGAAATGGCCTCCTTGAGCCGGAGCTGCTGTGTCTCTCTTGGAGCATGGCTCTCTGCTCTCCCCAAAATAACTGCTGCACTATCAGCCTTTCGACTCATTTTAGTCACAAACAGTTTAAGGGGACAGAAAAACCCTTATTTGGGTTTAATTTTAGTGCAGCATGGGGAGAAGTTTCACATTTCTGCTTTTAGAATTGGGTTTTTAGTGCCCCAGCTGCTTTTGCTGTGGTTTCCCTTCCATTTGCTGGACTGAAGCCCTGAAGCTGCTGTGGCCTCGCTGAGGCTCCCCAAATCACCCCACAAACAGGAGGCACAGAGCTGGAGCAGCCAGACAAACTCCCTGTTTCTAAATGTTATTAACACGATGAATTAAATATGAATTTTGTTTCAGGCATAACGTCAAAATCACCAAGAGACCCCAATGTGCTTGTGTTGCATAAATGCTCAGCATTTCCTCAACACCCTCGTTCAGCTCCCTTGGACATCATCAGGACACGAAGAGATTGAGCATGGCTGCAGTTTGGAAAGCAGAAATGCCTCTTCTCTGCTTTTTTTGCGACTGTACTTACATTTTTTAGCTGACTGAGTCGGTGCTCTGGGGTGCTGGGGCATTTTCTGCCAGGGAAGCATCACCTCCACACCCACTGGCTCTGCCTTATCAATCTTTCATGTCCTGAAAGCCCTGTTTGGTGACTGACAGCTGTCAGGGCAGGGCTGGAAAAAGGTTCTTTAATTTACTGTCTACAGTTCAAAATGAAAAATTAAAAAAAAATAAAATCTCGAGAATGGGAAAAAAAATAAAAATCTGAGTTTCTGCCCTTAAGTTTTTGGCTGTATTGACCCTGAGCAGTGCTCAGGGCTGCCTCACTGCTTTGACCTTGCTGCCTACTTAACTGTGGAAGGCTGAGCAGCTCCATCCCTGTGGGGCTGGAGAACATGAGCCAGAACAGAACCCATCTCACCCCGTGACCTGGGCACCTGGGGAACCTCTCCCCAGTGCAGCAGGGAGGGTCAAGGCTTCTTCCCTGCTACAGAGCAGTCACAGGATGCTCCAGGCCACCAAAAATACTTTTCTCCTGCAATTTAAAAGCCTTTTGAGATTTCATGTGAGGAAACAAACTGCTGCCATTGAGGGCTGTGCAGGCAGCTCCTGCCACTGCTGCCCACAGCAGACTGCTCCCCCAAAAATAGGGATAAAAATGGGATTCAACCCCATTGCTGCTCCTGCAACACATAGGTGTCTCCCCCAAGAGGGAAAAAGGGACAGGGAAGGTGGAGTTGACCAGCAGCTTCAGCAGATCTGTGCTAGAATTGAGCAATGGTTTGAAGTTTTAGGGTAGCAGCAGCTCTGAGCCTTTGGCAGCAGCCAGGGTGACACCTCAGGGCCTTCAGAGGCAGGGAACACTCAGGTATCATTCCATGGCTGGCAGGACTGCTCAGCACAAGGGAGGTCAGACAGATTTTCCCTCACTCCTGGGGAGGGCAGCTTTCCATCTGCTGTTCTGCCTTCACTTGGCACGTTATTCACTCCCCACTCCAAAGCCCCCGAGTTCCAGTCCAAGGGACCATCCCAAACAATCCACAGCCACACACTGATGTTTGTTTGGGTTTTTTTCCTCAAACCCCTATGTCTGCCCCAGAAAAAGGCAGTTCTCATGGGCACTGTTCACCACAGTGTGGCCAAATGTGACATCCCTGTGGAATAAATAAAGCCTGAGTCGGGGATTTCTCAAAAAGTTTTATTAAACCACAGTGAAAAAGGAGCAGTAACAAACCATCTCTTGTGGGTAACAATAAAAAAACATCTCAGTTCAGTTCAATGCACTGAATCAGGAGCAGCACCAAGTGCCTGAATCTCAGCTCTCCTGTAAATGAGAGCAGGATTCAGAGGTTCACACACCTTTGCAGGTGCAGAGGCTTGAACCCCCTGGGGAGGAAGGGGCTCATGCTCAGACCAAACTTTGCTTTTCAAGATGAAGCAAAGACTTCACTTTCTACACTGGCTCTTTCTGAGCTCAGAAACAACGTCATGGTCACCTCCAGAACAGCTCCCTGCTGTCTCTTTCTGCTTTATTCCCATGAAATCAGGATCTCCTCTTGGCAGAGACTGCTGTCTCTAGGTGCTGCGGAGTGGCTTGGCATACACAGGCTCCATGAGGTGGTAAATGAGGAACAGGAACAGGCACCCGAGGAAGACCAGGCTCATCACAGCCAGCAGGATGAAGCGGCCAATGAGGAAGGTGTCCACAATCTGCAGGGAACAGAAACACAAAGATCCCAGCACGTCACAGCCCCAGCCTGCTCCAGGAGCCTGGAGGGAGCACACCACGTCCTGGAAAAAAGAACCTCCGGGGCTCCCCCAGATTTCTATCCTTGCTTTTCATCCCTGGCATGGGCAGTCTCTGGGATGCACAGTGTGAGACAAATGAGAACAAGAATCCCTGCAAAAAGCTACTGGGAATGTTAATATGGAGCAGCACAGAACTGAGCACAGGGAAGAGAAAGCAGTCATGCCCTGAAGGAGTTCTCCCCAGTCACAAACTGATTCCCTTTCAGAAGGGAGATAGTGAGAAAAGAAAAAAAAAATTAAAAAATAAAAAAAAAGCCGTGGTAGCTAGGCAAGACAAAGAGAAGCCCATGGCGAGGAGGCTGTTTATGAAATCCCCTCTCTGCTCCCCACACCCCCCAGAGCTCTGCTCAGCCCCAGCTCAGCTTTATCCATCACATTAGCTCAGCCCTGGTGCTCCTGCAGAGAGTCTCTGGTGAGCCAAGCGCCGGCTCCTTCTGCACGTTTCACTTTTTAATTAGCCAATTAGCAGAGTTTTGGTGCAGAAAGCCCAGGTCATGTATTATTGATAGGCAGGGCAGGTCCAGTCCAATTGAAGATCCGTAAAAAAATCAGCTTTCCAATTCCATTTGCCTCCCAGGCAACAAACACGCAGTGGGCTGCCCTTCATCTCACTCCTAACCTTCACAAGAGCAGGTCAGATGTGACACAGAGAGAAGAAAAGAACATTACAAGTATCTTTTAGTAGGGATTTACACAGAACAAGAACCAGAAGAGCAATAATTAACATGCATTAATAATAGAACAGAGGAAACGGCACCTGAAAGACCACAAAACTTTGTGTATTCAAAGCCCAAAGAGCTCTGGGAGAGCTCAAGGTGGCAGCTCAGACAGCCTGATCCCAAAACTGGGGGAGATCCCTGTGGCTGACAATGCAGATGGCTTCATGCTCAAGCACGGCAAGAACCTACAAGAGAGCTGAAGAGCTGTTATTGGGCTTTAATCAGAAAACAGAGCCCAGGGAAAAGTGAAAGGCTGCAGAATTGGAAGGAAAGCGATAAGGAAAGGGAATGGCAGAGAGGGAGCAGAGGCTGCTGGAGCTGGGAGGGACCAAAGCAGGAGCGCAGCCCCTGCACAGAGCCCCTGGGGATGGGAGGAGGGGAGCCAAGCCCCACGGGCCAGGTGGAGCAGCGTGTAAACCAGCAATTTAGTTAGATAAATTAATAGTTACCAGCTCCAGGAGCGACACAGCCTGTGCCAGCGGGAGATTGCTGGAGAAGGAACCGCAAGAGACCAAAAAGGCAGCATGGGGCAATCTCTGGGGCACTGGGGCTGTCTCTGGGGTAAAAGAGGGACCTTTTCCCATCTCTGGGGTAAAAGAGGGACCTTTTCCCATCTCTGAGCTAAAAGCCCATTCCCGGGGCCTCAGGGCATCATCCCTGGGGTAAAGAACCATTCCCAGCGCATCCATCTGGGGCCATTCCCAAGGAATTCCCGAAGCCTCAGGGCACAGCCAGGGCCATGCACTGCCCTCCAGCCCATCCCGGGGCACAGCCCCGGCCCCTCCGCCCGGCCTCACCTCCTCAGCGCCGGCCGGGGCCGGACTCTCGCCTTCCCGGGGGAAGAGCAGCAGCGCGGCCGTGAGCGCGGCGGCTCCGAACGCCACCGGCACCGCGGCGACCCTGCGGGACAGCGGGGAGAGCTCAGCGCCGGCGGGCCCGAACCCCCGCGCTCACCGGGCACGGCCCGGCCCGAACCGCCGCGCTCACCGGGCTCGCCCCCGCCCCGTCCCCGTTCTCACCGGGCGCGGCCGGCGCGCACCAGCGCCAGCACGAGCAGCAGCGCCATGGCCCAGAGCACGAGCAGCGCCAGCACCCCCGGCCCCACGCCCAGCGCGCCCGCCATGCCGCCCCGCGCCGCCGCTTCTGCCTAGCAACCGCGCCACCCCAGCCAATCAGCGCTACCCGCACAGCGGTCCGCGCTGTCTATTGGCTGAGGGGCGGAGGGCGGGGGCGCGGCCGCTGCTCTCCCTGCCCCGCCTGGCGCTCTCTCGGCTCTTCCATTGGCTGACGGTGGAGGGGTGGGCGGGGCTTTCTGCGCGCTGCCGGAGGCGGGGGCGCGCCCAGGAGGCCGAGTGCGCGATCCCGATCCCCATCCCCATCTCGTTTCCCATCCTGGCCCCCATCCCGATCCCGATCTCGGCTCCCATCCCGATTCCCATTCCAGTCTCGATCCCTATTCCCATCTCGGCCCCCATCCTGGCCCCTATCCCGGCCCCGATCCCGGCCCCGATCCCCATGCTCATCCTCATCCTCATCCTCACCCCCATCCCTATCTCTATCCTCATCCTCATCCTCATCCCCATCCCCATCCCCATCCCCATCCCGATCCCTGATCCCGGCCCCCATCCCGGTCCCAGTCCTACTGAACCCCGGCCCTACTGACCCGGTCCCTACTGCACCCCGGTCCTCCGGGAATGCCCGGGTTCCGCTCCAGCCGCTCCCCGTCCCGCAGCCTTGGGCTCCGTCCCAGAGCTCGCAGCTGCTCCCGGTGGAACTGGAATTTCCCTCCCGGTGCAGACGAATCGGTGCTTTATTATCTCGAATTGGCCGGAGCCACCCAGCTCCTGCCCACCCCTCTGCAGGGAGCATCTCTGAACACGCTTTCACCCCAAAACCCTAAAAAAATTGAGCTGTCCACGCCCTCAATTATATTTAGGGCCAAAATCAGGCATATTTCGTTCATACAGTGATGCTGAGACGGGGACTACAGCAAGGTTTTGGAACATCCATGCTGGGAGTTTGGGACAGCCAAGCCAAACTAGGGAGGTTTGTCAATGCTATAAGCATCTTCTGATATCAAGACAAGAGGAAGTTCCATTTAAAAGAAATATTTCAGCCTGTTTATAAATCCTGTCTCTTCACCATCACCCATTGCCTGTCAGACCAAGGCCAATGTGGTTTGATGAGTGATTTATCATAGAATCTCAGAATTACATAATGGTTTGGGTTGGAAAGGACCTTAAAGAAGGCCTTGTTCCAACCCCAGGCACACCAGTTAACCCAAAAAAACCCTAGACACTGATATTTTCTGTCTCAACTGCTTGAAGTGTGCAATACTTTGGCTGCATAAAATGTCACCTGAGTGGGCGTTTTCTGTCGCTTCTTTCAAGGGGAGGAATAAACCAGCGGTTAATTATTGTGTGCAGCACCGACCTGCCTTTGCCTGTGATGAAATCAGAGTCTCCAGCATGACACAAAATGCTTCAGCAAGCAGAACACAAACTGTCTCCAACACCTGCCTTTACTTGGCATAGAGTGCCAACCTGCTGCCAGCACATTAAAAACGTATGTTTGATAGCAAACTCCTTCCTGCTCTGCTCCGTGCTGGGAATCCCACCAGGCAGGGTTTTCCTCTCTGCCGTCCCTTGTTGATGTCCATCTCTTTTCCCTCTCCTTCTCTCCTGTGCTTCCTGCTGGCCACGAGAAATTCAACTTTTGCTCCCATTGTTTGCGAATCTCCCCTTTGCTTTTCTCTGTTTTCCCATTCCTTTGCATTTTTTGGAACCTGGCAGTTTCTAAACCCCCAAATTTCTTCTTCATAACCCTGTTTTCTTCTGGAGCCTTCTCCTTCTGTCATTCCTTTTGCATCCTTTGGCTTTTCATCCAGAAGTGATAGGTTTTATTCATCAGCCAATAAGGCTTTTCCTTGGCTTATTTTTCTCTTGTGCAACAGCCTTGTTAACCTCTTCCCATATTAATTGAGTTTTTATTTCCCATCTCCGTGTCTTGGTGCTGGCTGGTAGTTTTTTGATGCCAGCAGTAGCAATGTTAAGCCAGTTCAAGAGATTGAAGCAGAGAGTTTGACTCATCCACCTATTGATCCTGCTGGTGGACCACATCACAGCCCAGATATTTGGACAGAAGTTGAAGAATAAATGCAATATACAGCCCAGCAAGCACATCCAATGGCCAGCTCTGAGCCATGCTGCTTGTTGGTTTTAAGCTCACCATGGCAGCAGGGCTGATGGCAACTCAAGCACAAGTTTGGAGTTTAAATGATGCCCAGTAGCCCAATACCCTCCAAAATACTTATGTATTTATTCCTTTAATATTTAATTATATTTATATTTTTGTGATATATAATAATATTTATTTACCCAGCACACATTGTATCCCAGCAAGGCTGCAGGTTTCTCTGGGCACAATGAAGGCAAATGGTAAATCCACAATTAAGGAGCTGGGAAAACCAACCCCACTGATGTGATATTTCCAAGCACGACCTTCACTAGAGGTTTCTTCAACCCATCTGCAACAAAGCTCATCATCCTAAACACATCTTTCCTCTGCATCTCAGCCTCCTCCCAGCAGCAGAAATGCCTTGCTGGGGATTTGCCTTGCAGACTGCTCCATCAGCCCCTCAGCTGAATGCAAGGATCTGATTTTATTGCCAAAGAATCATTTCTTGCTGGCCTAAAATAACTTTTCCTTCCAGCTTTGTTTTTATTTATTGCTTGTGTCAGAGTTGCATTGCACTTGGAAAAAAGAAGTAACAGAAAGTGGGAGAAAGGCAATGCTGGGTATAAAAGGTAAATTAAAAAACGTGGGAGGACTGAAAATACTGAGGATTTTTTTGTTGTTTGCATGACTTTGGGAGAAGCTTCACATTTGTGGTGGTTTTTTCCAGGATAACTGTTGATGTAGGGTGATGTTTGTTGGTGTCACACATTCAGGTTTCTCCAAGAGTTTCGATTTGCACCACGTGGCATTTGCACCCAAACCCTTGTGCTGGGGACAGGACACATCAAAGTGATGGCTGATGATGTGGTGATGATTAATTCCAGCTCCAATGTGTTTGATATCCATAATATAGGTATCATAAAGCCTTTCCTGGCAAGGCTCTCAAGCAATAATCTGCTTTAAATAAGGAGACGTGGAGTCATACAGAGGCTGTTGGATGCTTGTGGGCCAGAAAACCCAATTCAAAGGATTTATTTGGACACAAATAATTCAATGTTCTCCAGTGGAAGGGCGCTGCTGTCCTGCCAAAGGAAAGGAGTGATTTGAAGGATGTGTCATCACTACAGATAGTTTTTCCCAAGGAAGAGATCAGAGAACTGTGGCATTTCTTGGCAAAGGTCTGACAAAGATCCCGAGGCTGGCATTGGCTGAAATGGGCTTGGCAGAGAGATGCAATTAGTGCTGAGGCTAATTAAATGCTTGGCACAGGAGGATGGAGAGGTCACCTTCCTTCAAGGCCTGCAGGATAGCATCACACGGATCAAAGCTCTTTTGTTGGAGGAGCAGCCCCTGGAAACAGCACAGGTTTGGGTCAAAACGGCCCCTTTGGGGTGAAAACCTTCAAATCCACCGTGCCCAGCTCATCCTGGTGGCCAAAACAACCAACGTGGCCTAGTATCAAATGATAATAAATGATCAAACTCTCGGTGGTGGAGCTGGAAGTGCCAAAGGAACTGATTTAAAACTGCTCGCGCCGTCGCGAGACTTCCAGTTTTCCGGCTGGAGCTCCCCGGCGCTCCAATATTAGAATTAAAAAGAAACAGGCGTTGATGCAAGAAAGAAAATATTCTGCTCCTGATTTAAAGACTAGCGAATTGCTAAATATTTTTATTAGTGGCAAATTTGCAGCTTGCTGGAACTAATTTCACGCCCGGTAGATATGGAGCTTAAGCTGGGAATGGCGTTAAATTACTCTCGTGTAAGGGTGTTAAAGCCTTGAGATGGGGATCTGTTGGATGCTGGGGACCTGGCTGGGGACCCCTTTTTTGGGGGGATTCCTGGTGGGTTTGGAGTCTGGAGATGGTGGTTGGGGAAAAGAGAGTCAGTACAAACATCATTTTCATCCTCGGTGCAATAGGAAGCGCTCATTTGCATAAATTTGTTTATGGGGTTTCACTGCAAACCAGCGTGGTCGTGAGGCCCCAGAATCCTTCAGCCTGGAAAGATGTTGTTTATGTTTTAGGGATATTTTGGAGATTATTCAGGATATCCAGAGTTCAGTTGATTTTGTTAATTTTAAAATTTATTTAATCAATTATAAAAATGTACTGAATTGATGTTGAAAAAAAATTATTTTGTTTTAATTGATTTTTTATTTAGAATATTCCAGGCTTAGCTTAAGATTTAAGAGATGGGTAAAGGTTGGAACAGCTGTATCCCTGTATCCCTTGCCCCTCTGGACTCATTTTTTCCATGTTTTCTTTGTCGGCCAGATGTTTTGCAGCTTGCCAATGGTTTTCCAGCCCAAATCCCTCCCTCCTCCTCCTCCTCCTGCAAAGTCTGAGTGCACCCAGCTTAATGCTGGGGGAAAACCCATCCCGTTCCAGCTTTGCCCAGATACAAACTGGGACAGGTGCAGGTGTGGGGTCAGAGGATGTGGAGCTCGAGAAAGCAAAGTGAAGGCGTCAGGAGGATCCAATTACTTCTCTAAAAATACTGCCAGGAGAGTGGCAGTGGTAAACAAGAGCTATTTAAATCCTTCAGTCCACTTTCTGTGATGGGGAAAAATGAGGTTAAATTGTTCTTCCCAAGTTACCTGGAGGACACTTACGGCTGAGAAGCACTGAGCTGTCCTTTTCCAAAGAGACATCCCCCCCAAAAAAAAGAAAGTTGAAATAATAGGAGAGGGTTAGTAATGTCTCCAGTGGGGATAGAACTCTCTCTCACAGGAACCCACTTCAGATTATCTTTTTCTAGCTGATGGCGGAAATCAATTTTAATCATCCTGACAGGAAATGAGGATGTAAGACTTCAAACAGAATAAATCCTGCAACATTAAAAAAATAATAAAATGGAATATGAAGTCACTCTTCAAATGAAAAAAAAAAAAATCCCAGTGAGTGGAAATGCCTCTAAAAAGCCCTGGTTGGTGGGAGGAAAGAAAAC